AATATTTTATTAAGAAATTAACACTTTTTTTTTAACTTCGCAGGCAAATTTGCCTGCTCTACAGTCTAAGGGATAATGATACTTTTCTGTGATTAGATAGCAAATTAGACAAGTATAATCTGTTGATAAATAAGATTTGTTTTTAGCGTGTTATTGTATATAATTTCTTTGTAATATAAGATATAAGTCTGAATTCATCCATTATAAGACTAGAGGACCTGACAGGAATCATCACTTTGTTAGTCGGAGAGTTGGAAATAAAACTTAGATAATATAATTCAATTCTTCAAATTAATCACAATAACTTTATTACAATTATGCCTGTAAAGAGACACAGCAAGAGATAATAGTAAATGAATAACAAATATTTTTATTGAACTCTTGCTTTATTCACAAAACCCTATTTTGAGTTATCTTTCAACTCAAGGAAAAATACATGCTATTTATATAAAATAAACAAATAGTAATATAATATTATAAATATATCTAATATAATAAATATAATAAATAAATTAAATCTATCAAATATAACAAATTTAATAAAATTAATAAAGTTAACAAATATTATAAATATGATAAATATGGATTATCAGTTAAATATAACCAATCTATCATATTCGTTAACTAAATCAGATGATTGCTGCAGTCATTGATTATTGCTTTAATGGTTATGCAAATAATTGAATATTCTAAGAATCTAAAAGTAATATATTTGATTGGATTTTATAATTTATTGCTAATGCGATATATTGCTAGCCTTAATTTATATAAGGATTAGGTTTATAATCAGGTAGTTAGAAATATCTGTCACATAGTCTCATACCTATCAGTTCTTCATTTTTACTAAGTATTTCAGAGACTTATTTTTTTTGATAGACAAAATCCTATTATCACATTATATATTATACTGATGATAAAATTATTATAAATTGCATTGGCGATAAATTATAAATTCCTATCTGATTCTTTTTATTAGATATTATCATTTTGTTAGTTTCAGATTTTATCCTATTATCTTTCATTGTAAAAATTAGCAAGTGTATATAGAAGAATTAAAAATGGACACCATAATTAAAAAAATGGCTTAATTAAGTTGCAACTTGTAGTGCAATTAAATTTCTTTATGGTGTAATTAAGTTGCAACTCAATTGAAATTTGAAAATAATTATGGAACCATTTTTAGAAGCAATATTTTATATTTAAACTGTTTTTTATCAGTATTAATGCAGATATTATAACAAATTACTATTGATGTTTTTAAGAGATATTTTTTATAGGATCAAGACAAATTATTCTATTTTAAAATCTTTTTCAGATTCTATTCATAATTTTAATGATATTTTATAAAAAATTTTCAGTTCACTTTAATAACAAATGCAAAAGTCAAATATAATGAAACAATCTTCTTAAGAAGTATAAATAATCAATCATTTGTTTAATATCATCTTTTATAAATATGTTTGCCAAATATTTTAAAAGTGAATAATAAAAACTATTTATTAAATTTTCATAATAAAATTAGAAAAAAACAATATTAAATTGGTACAAATCATCTTTTTTTATTATTAAATATCTCTTTTATTTGGGCTATATTAAATATATTTAATTTGCTTTGATTACATCATCGTTAAATCACATGATTTTATCAACCAATAAATTTTGACAATAATAAAAATGATCTGCAATAATTAGCCAATCACAACGAAAGCCTGCGATTTAATCAACAAATCATTCCTACAATTCACTATTATCGCGAATAAAAACATAGCAATATTCATAAAGTTGTTTAGCACTCAAATTTTCTGAAAATTCTTTAATTTCTTCTACGTTTGACATAAAAACCAATCGTGAGATCCTCAATTCCATAAGCTCTTTCAAATGGTCTAACATGTAATCATTTGCTAACTTGAGTAAGTCTTTATACATTGTCAAATTTGGATCTTGATGGTAATACTCATTCAAGTTTTGCTGATTTTGAATCGCGTCATCAATATTTTGGCCATACAGATAGCGCAACAAAATGCGTATCGAGTTAGGTTGGATATCATTAACATTGAAAGTCGATATATTAATCGAGCTAAATAAACCAAGTCCTACCGAAGTAAATCGCTGGCAAAAAAATTTAGAGCTTGCAGAGAGCAAAAATTTGCTTGCTTTAATGTTTTCGCCATTCGTAACAAAAGTTACGTCGTTCAAGGAGGAAGTAGGATCTAACAGAAATTCAAACAAAGTATTTTTGGTAATATTTGATTGATCGTGTTGTCTGACATTTATTCGAACGTTTGGCCGCTTTATTTCACGAACTCCGGCACTTTTGAGCATGTAAGGATATTCAGCAAGACTTAAATTGACATACTTCAACTCGCCAAGTTCACTGTTCAAGACCAAATCGTATGCATAAACCCAATTTTCAAGGTTAAATGGGTCTTTATTTATTTTGAAATTAAGGAATAATGGTTCGCTACGAATGTATTCCGTCAGGTCGAGATCTTCATTTAAACGACATTCTTCATTTAGCCATTTATAAACCTCGTAGATGTTGTTTTTAAATGCATCACGCCAATCCTTCTTCCAATCTTCATCATTGAGGAGTATTTTATACAAGAAACGGAGATGTTTGACTACTGTTGAAACATCAGGTTTGCCAAATGATGGATATTTATCGAGTACTTGTTGAGGTGGTATGACATCGTCCGCAATCAAAAACTTTTGACTCCACGCGACTTCTCTATATGCGGGAAGTATTACATCTTTCATGCAACCTAAAACTCGAGAGTGGTTGTGTTGCAAGTTATAAGGTTTGCCTAAATTTTTAACAATTGGGATGAATGGAATTCTTTCGATGCTATTCAATTCAAAAGTGTCAATACGTTGATATAGATGGTCTACCAAGGTAAAGCCCCGATAACGTATGTCAGAAGGGGGTACTAAGTCTGCTTGTAATTCATCGATTTTCTCAGCTAAACTTTTGAATATCTCTGTATCTATAGAATGATTGAATCCAATCCTCGCTAAATTCCCAACAAATTGCGACAGGTCGAAATGAAGAAAGATATTGGAGTCCCCGCCAAAAACAGCTCGAAAAACCAGATTGTTATAATCGTATAAGTCGGTTATTTTCTTTAAATTTGTCGTTTTTGAATTCGGAAAACAGCGTTTATCCTTTAAATTTTGAACAATTTGTTTATCTTTAAGTATGTCTTTTAGGAATTCGAGATAATCGCTATCATAATTTCTAGGAAATTCGACGTCCTCAAATGTATACTCGTACATGGTTCGCGTGGGGACACCAAGGTCGGTTAAGATTCGACGAACAATTTTTTCTTTAGCATCCAAAAAAATTGAGGAAGTTCTTATTCGATATTGATGAAAGGATTCTGGTAAAATATATGCGCCTGAAGCTGGTTTTAAAAGTTGTCTATTTGAATCTGAATTAGACAAATTCGAAAGCATTGACCAAATAGGAAGAGAGCGGACCAGTGGCTTTAAATTTGGATCATATTTTATCCCTACATTAATTAGAGAAAATTAAATTTTAAATTTTATAATATAATGATATGATATCAATAGATAATTACCCATATCATTCCAATTATTTCGAAGTAAACTGCTGAGTTCTATAATCTGCTTGTATGATAAAAGTTCGAAGAGAAACTTTACGCGGTCACTCTCATTTCCGCTAAACAAGATTTCTTCATTTTGAAATAAATCCTCAAGTACTTTGAAACCGTATTCAATTGCGTATTTGGGATAATTTCGATTAATGGACGGAAACGGCCAAAACTTTGAGATAGGATGGATTTTATTGCTATAATCGTTTAATTCTGCGGATTTTTTTATAAGATTGCCATAGAGTTTAGGAAGGAAATCGAGCAGAATATGTCTATTCCAACTAAGTTTCTGATGGTCTAAATCCGGCATGTCATCTTCCTCAATAAGCAACCTCCCACGGTCTGAGCCTTGAGCCCAGGTTCCGTTAAGATGAAATGGCAAACTTGTGGTATCAGCCAATGGAAAAAAAGAATACATTCTGCCTACAAAGTCGCTCCGGTCTTCATTCTCATCATTATCCTTTGAAGTTTTGTGTAATGCCGCTATACCACCAAATACGCGTAATCGATATCGTTCCGCATATTTTTGTAGCTGATCATCATCAGGATTTTGTTGAGCACCATTGACTATAATCCAATGGTCTTTTTGTATTATATTAGGTTCAATTAAATTAATTTCAATTTGGAAAGATTGAAATCCATTATTTGGGACACATTTTCTTTCATTCGATCCTGATATCATCGCTTTACAAAGTGAAATCATTTGTGAAGGATTTTTATCTTTAGGCAAATGGAAGATTTCAATTGTTTCGATATTTCGAAGAAATAAACATTGAGAGGAGATAGTTGATTTAAGATCTTTAAACAATTCAACGATTTCTTCAATTTTAAAAAGTCTGTCAGAAATTTCACTTGGTTGTTTTCGAAGTGGTATTCGGAAGATTGTTCCTTCGAAAGTCGATCGATAATTTATGCCTCCGATGTCTATGTAGGGTGCCAACTGGTCCCTTTCAGAATACCCGCCAAATACATTTGGTGGTGGTGGAAAAGGGCATTTGATGCCACGCTGGGTATAGTTCTGTTTTTTTGGCAAGAATTTCTCTTGAGGATCCAAAAACGCAATAGAATCGCCGCTAATGAAGCTCGGAACATCTGTAAAGTGGTAACAAGAATTAAAGCCTAACCCATGTTTTCCAATCTTTGTATCGTCTCCTTGTTTTCCTCCAACACGGATCTGCATAAGCGAATCAAAATCGGGTTTCTTGAATTTTGCATTATTGTATAATAAAATGGCGGGTCCTTGCCAGACTTTCATTTCATTACAAAGTAGAGATTGTTGTGGATGCGAACGTCCGTCAATAATTACATGAAACTTAGTAGCTCCAGCATCATCAGCTTTTTTTTTTTAGGAATAAGTATTGCGTATATTAATCAAAGAACGCATAACCCACAAATCATCAAAGTAATTCATTTACCATTTTGAAGAAATTCTTTAAATATGCTTTGATAGGGATAATCCTTGTAAATATTAAATTTATAAAGAATTGAATTTTAAATTTAAAATACAATTTAAGAACACAGAATTAAGGACTACCTTTATAATATTACGGATGGAAGAAATAAGCGTCTCATTTTGGCCATAAGATTCAGAATTTAAACTCAAAGACATTATTCCTCGTTTCCTGTCTAGAGTTGAATTTTTTGAGGTTTAAGTGCTTGTTTTCAGTCCCGATAATCTCTTTTGATATTTATCAATCGGGTTGCATTACTTTGTATGACAAATTACACAACCGATATAATGAAATCGATTATCATTTTTAATGAGTATTAAATATATCCAATCACACGTTACTCAACAGCCATTGTTAATCTGCGTCAATGTTGTCTTTTCACTTGCAATAGCTTATACTATACAAATTTATTTCAAATCAACAGGTATCAATGTTTTACTAACCAATAAATTTGATAAATCATTCAATACTTCTTCAATGCAATAAGATTGTTGAATACTCTTAATAATGATAACAATAATGAGACTTCTATTCAATATTATACTAAAATTAAAAAAAAAGTTTTTACAGTATAGTAGAGAGTAAATTAAGTAAAAATCACGTTAGATCATTGAGTAAAAAAATTTAATACTCAAAATTGAAATCAATGATAAATTACCAATGCATTTAATAGACGGTTGAATTAACATAAACAACGTCGTAATTTTAATACTTGTTTTATTTATCATTATAATATTTTGGCAATGACTAATTTTACTTTTCTAGTAGCAATGTAATCAGCTTCAAAAAAACAAATAAGGAACAAAGGTTAAAAAAAAATTACTTAATTAATTAACATTCATTTATAATTTTGAATAAGAATAAAAGATTAAATTATGTTACGTTCTCTCGTAACTTATTTTAATATTTATAGTATTAAACTAGACTTGTTATAATATATGCAATAAATGGCGTCTTCTAGCTTCGTGACATTCAGTTTATTAACAAAAACAATGATGTCTACGCCTTCAGGACTATAGTTGCTGGCAAAACACATTTTCGACAAGTTTCTTAATTTAGTTTACTTTCGACGATTTAATTATTATAATTTCGACGGTACCGTTAAAAACTTAAGGCTTTTGCCCTATATTTTTATTCGGAACGTTCCAATTATCTTTTCTAGTAGCAATGTAATCAGCTTCAAAAAAACAAATAAGGAACAAAGGTTAAAAAAAAATTACTTAATTAATT